CCCCCCCCCCCCCCCCCCCCCCTCTTTCCCTACTCCAATCCCTATTCTGCCACTCAGATCTATTAATTTCGACTGATTCTTTTGATGGGCTACAATTTTTTTGGGTGGTATTTTGCCGTAACTTTGTTTCTTATGGTAGTGGTGGTGTTTGTACGTGCATTTTGTGGATGGAAAATGTGAAGAAATCCGGTCTTGTGATTGCAATACACTTTCAGAGGCATGTGCATTTAAGATTGAATTCAAAATCATAATTGTTGGACAGTGGCCTTTAAAGAGGATTACATGTTACAATTTTCCAGTCTATTTGATGTTTAGGGTTTCCCAAAGTATAGCATCTCCGGAATCATTTCATATATAACTTAACTGCAATAAAGCAGTTGTGATCGGCTTCTTACAGAAGTCCACTGAACAAGTGGAGCTGGAACATGGGCTGTCTTTGATACCGAGTCGCTGGAGGTGACTTAGCAATATATTTGATCCTTAAAAAGGGTTACTTTCTCAATCATATTCATGTGCAGAAATGCGGGTGTAAAAGTGAGTTGGGCTGTGAGTTGGGCTGTCCAAGTTTGGGACGATCAGACGCATGTAAAATATTATATATTGGATTGAACAAGATCAAAGAAGAGACGTGTTTCTGCAAACTCAGTAGTATGCTATGAATGTGACCAAATCATGTCTTCACACTTCAGTTCGAAAACACCATTTATAGGGCTATTACAAAAGAACAGAACTCGAAAGTTCATTAAAAGCCTAAACCAGGATTTTGGCAATTTATTTCGTAGTTTCATATTTATTTAAATAAATAAAACACCAATCGTTTTTCAATTAAAAAGAATCAATCTATTCGCAAAAGAGTATCAACGATTGAATCTTTACCCACCGTCTACATTCTTGAAACCACGTGTTGGTATATTATATTAAAGAAAAGATTGTGAAAAACATGTTAATATCCTTCGGCGTTGAGTTGTCCACAATTCAATATGCCAAACATGTTATTAGTGCATTTACATATGGGCATGTGAAGTTATATAAACTAGTATCAATCAAATAAGACGAGAATACTGTTAAGATAAAAACAAAAACAGCGTTCACTTCCATGCATTCAGGAATAAGATTCAAAACTTGTCCCAGAAAATGAAAAAAGTATTTTAGGATTAATTTAGAAATGCAAGGCAAAGAACCATATCCAGGAGGAAGATTTGTCCTCAGCCCATACTATACTAACATATTTACAATTTAGGATCTCAAAAATAGTCTTTTTATACCAAAATGCCAATAAAAAGCCATCAAAGTTGTGACATAAACAAAGGTGTTGATAAGTCAATTTACCATCCTCCTCTCCATACACGTTATTTTACAAATCTACTGCAGAAACCATCATCACGAACAGCGAAACTTCTCACAGTCATCCGCGCCAATCTTTGTGAAGTTTGAAATGAGACCAGTTATCATTCTCCTTATATCAGCCGCAAACTTTGACGAGGTGCTCTTTTTGCTACAATCCTGGATCTTTCCCTTGACCAATGAACCAACTACTGCACCCTCCATGTATGCTCTACATGCCGAAAGAATATCATGTGCATGAGAACGGAAATGACCTATCACGAAATCCTCGAAGTGCTGCAACCATATAACCATTCGAAAAATAAGACCTCAAAAATAAAAATCTTGTTATAGTAAGGGAAACATATTGTTTGCATATACACACAACAGCAATGGCAAACAATCAAGATTCAAATTCGCACATTAGCAACTCGGAAGAGGCGTTGGGAATGATTGCCCAGGATAATGAAAAATAGCAAAACTTGGACAAAGATTTTACTCAAGAAATAATGCGGCTTTGCTATAAAATAGGAACAGAAGATTACAAGATGAGTTTCAAATAAGAGTTAGAAAGTATCTAACTCTCTATTTCTCTCAATAACAAACTCTACATTTCTCAAATCCTCACTTAGAGCTAAATTGTTTTTGGCACCCACTCATTGAACACACATATATGATGAGCATATCCTAAAGGCCTATTTATAGATTTTGTGGGTGTTTGGTGGGGATTAAAATTAGGTTTTTAGTAGATTGTGATAGAAGTTTTTGAAATGTATGGTTGAGAAACTGTGGGACTCATGAAAGATGTGGTTTATTGATTGTTTGACTTTAACTTAAATTAAAATCGGAAACAAATAGGGCCTTTGAAAGGCGGTTTATCATTTGACAAAATATGATTGAATTCCTCTTTTAGAAGTTTAAAAATCAAACATAAACTTGATCAACCAATAAGCTTTATTTCCTTGCTTGACTTGATAGATTTACTTCTTTAGCAAAAACTACTACTTATCTTTTAAGGAGGTAAAATTAAACTTTGCTTCCACTTCTATCATCTTCCAATCTTATCTCTAAGAATTAAAATCAAAATTTGTCACCACCTCTAACAACCTCCCACTTGGAGACAAATATGAGGCCGTAGTAGAACTCTGCTTCATCCTCAAGTGCTAAGGCCAACTAAAGTTGAGCATGATTTAAGTTTTTCGATAGTAACTTTGTTAACATATCTGCAGGATTTTCTATAGTGTAGATCTTCTCCAAACTGATTTTACCATCTTCTAAGTGTGAACAAACAAAATGGTATTTCATGTCAATATGTTTCGTTCTTGAGTGAAATGCAGAATTCTTGGTGAGATGTATAGTACTTTGATTATCACTATACAACTTGCAGTCATCATGATTCCTGCCCAATTCACTCAAGAAATTTTGAAACTATACCATTTCCTTACAAGTGTTCGTCATTGATACATACTCTACTTCCATAGTAGAAATGGTTATAATCGTTTGAAACTGAGAGACCCAACTAATTGTAGCAGAGTAAAAACATATCGAGTTGTGCTCTTTGTGCAAAATCAGATTCAACATACCAATGCAAGCTTATCTTTGAGCCACCATAACACAAAGCTATATGCCGAGTAACTTTGAGATATCGCAATATCCACTTGACAGTTTCCCAATGCTCCTCGTCAGGATTATTCATGAATCTACTTAGGGATGGCAACGAGGTGGGTATGGGACGTGTCGGCCATTCTCACTCCCATCCAGTCGGGTGTATTTTTTTACCTTATCCCATACCCATGCCCGGTTAAAGTGGGACGGTCGGGATTGGAGCGGGGTGGGTATGTCCCCTGTCCCATTTATTACCCTATTTTTTATTTATTTTATTTTTTGCTTTTATTTTTTTATATCTTTAGTTAGTAAATATTATTACTTTTTTATCAATTTGTTAAAAACAACTCATGTTCTCTTTAAAAATAATTATAAATCTATTATTTTTGTTTGATAAAAAATTCAAATTTGAAATTAACTTTAAACGGGATGGATAGCGAAGCGGGGACTATGTTTCTCGTACCCGTCCCGTACCTATTTTGGGGCAATGACCCTCATCTTATCCCCGCCCCGTTTACCCAGTTAGACGGGTAATCCCCGCCCCACGAGTATCGGGTTGAACGAGTTTTTTTGCCATCCACAAATCTACTAACAATTCCCATTGCATGACCAATATCTGGTCTTGTACAGACCATAGCATACATCAAACTGCTAATGGCTAAGGCATAAGGGACTTTAGCCATGTACTCTCTCCTCGTGTGTTATTACTCCTTGTTCCTTTATCATTTTGAAGTGACCTGCTATTGGGGTGCTAACGAGCTTAGTAATCTCCATGTGGAATCTCTTGAGGACTTTACCAACATATTCTGCATGTGATAGCTTTAATATCTTGTTCTCCACGTCTCTACTAATTCGCATTCCAAGAATTTGTTTTGCATCACCCAAATCCTTCATTGCGAATTCTTTAGACAACTGCTCCTTGAGTTTAATAATTTCATTCATGCTTAAACCTGCAACAAACATATCGTCTACGTACAAGAGAAGTATCAAATACGAAGTGTCAAGTTTTTGTAATAACAAAAATGATCACCATGTCACCTATGGAAGTCTGCACTTCTCATGAAGCTATCAAATTTCTTATACCACTGTCTGGGCGTTTGTTTTAGCCCATACAAAATCTTCTTGAGTTTACACAACATACTCTCTTTTCTTGTAACCAAATAGACCTGGGTTGATGCATATAAATATCCTCCTTCAAATCAACATGAAGGAATGCAAATTTAACATCTAATTGCTCCAAATGCAAATCCGCAACCCCATAATTCTAAGCACAATTCTGATAATAGAAATTTTAACGAGAGAAAATCTTAGTATAATCAATACCTACCTTCAATTGGGAACTTTTTACAACCTGGCCTTGTGTTGTTTAGTGCCATCGGGTTCCCACTTATTGTGTAAAGCAGATTTTCCTTCGGGCAATAGAACTAGTTCCCACATCTGATTCGTCAAGAGAGATTCCATCTTATCATTCATTGCTAGCTCCCACTTTTTTCTCATCTCAACTTGAAATGCTTCCTCATAACACTCAGGTTCACCGTTGTTAGTTAGCAATAAATAATGCAAGGAAGGCGAATAGCGAAACTACAAGGTACACCTCCTTACAGGAACTAGGGTTGGCATCCTGTAGGTGGTGTCAACTAAACATTCGTATCATGGGGTTTTAACACATCTCTACTAGAGATTTCCTCAACCTCTAGTGCCTCAAGTTCCTCAGTCTTGTCATCATGAAGTCTATCCTTGTACATGACAAACTCATTGAACACAACATCCATGCTCCTAGTTATTTTTTGATTTTCATAATCCCAAAATCGATAACCATAATTATCGATGCCATAACCAATAAAGATACATTTACAAGACTTAGGATCAAGCTTATTCCTATTCTCAGCTCAATGTAAACATAAGATATGCAACCAAATATTCTTAAATGCGTTCACCTCTTTTCCAGGCCACGCCTCTTGTAGGATTCTGCAATT